AGGCAGTATCACTACGGAAGTAGGATTGCCCAACCTTCCTTCCGAGGAGTGGCTGGTGGGTTTGAACCGCCAGCCTTCTGGTTAGCAGTCAAGCGCTTTAGCCACTATGCTACCAGAGCTCCTCCCCCTGCATAGACATACCTAATTGTTCAGCCTGTCCATTGATCCCTATATGGCAGTGTTTTGAACAGTAAATCATAGTATTGAACATCTGCTAGTGAGTATCTGAGAATGATAGCATCAGCAAATTATGCACTGCAACATTGTAAGTAGTACATATTACTACCACAAGATGTACAACAAAATTAAGCAAAACAAAACAACAAGATGGTTGTAAGGGCAGTTTGGTGTAACTTGAACAGTAGGGGCTACGTGTACAAGTTTTGATGCAAGTTTTATGGGCTCATTTCTTCTTCCAGGTTACTTGCAAGCCCGGGACTTGCCAAGCCGGGGTGTTTTACCCTTTGTTCAAGGCCTTCTTTGCAACACCGGATCACAATGCAGGAATATAAGCTACATACAGTCTGCTGAGCACCTTTTTCGGTAATAGAAACACTCACAGGATTCATGGAAAGCTGGTGCATAGGACAGACATCGTGCTTTCAGTAAAGCCTTGAAAGTTTGTGACAGGGCAGAGATTCTGAGAAGCACTGAGTGTAGTGCTAAATGAAAATGGTTTTCATTAATTTCAGACCACATAATAATGACTCCAACTAATGGTTATTTTCTAGTAGGAGATCTTTCCACTGCTGTTTTATGAATCACAGAGTAAGTGCTGACTAGCAAAATCCATTTGCATATCATAATTTGTTTTCTGGAGGTTAAAACTCTAACCTCAAAATTACTTACTTAACTAACTTTTCATTGGTGTCATTACCCCCAAAACAAGTGTTCATTGAGCCATCTATTGGAGTTTCCCTAGTGTGCTATTAGTTGTCTAGGATCCTCTTTCCAGCTGAGATAAAATGAAAGAGATGGTCAGCCATCTTTTATTTCTCTATATAACTTCCTATATGAACTTTTGTTGTTGTTGTTATGTGCCATCGAGACTAGCTGACAGTTAAATTTCCTACTCTGATTCTTTCAGTGCTAAACCATATCTGTAGTTGCTAAGGCCTTAATTGACCTTGAAGACAAAAAAGTCAAAGAGAAGGAGGTAATTATTATAAGAGTGTCAAGGAGACTAGGCATTGATATGGGTCTTGAATGCTCTGGAAACTTCTTTTAAGTGGAGTGAGGAATGATTGGAAGTGACTGTTTGATTGTGATACTCTGATTTTATGTATTAGGAATGAATGATCTAGGTTTTGTTTTACCTACTTTTAATGTTATTGAAAGGCATTGGACTGTGTGATCATAATAGATTATGGATAATATTGGCAAGAATTCCAGAACACTTAATTGTGCTCATGAGGAAACTGTTCAAAGAGGCAAGTTGTTCAAGCAGTACAAGGGGATACTACATGGCTTAAAATTAGGAAAGTTGTGAGTGTGTGTGTTTGTCAGAGTTGTATCCTCTCACCATATTTATTCAATCTATATACTGAGCAAATAGTCTGACAAACTGGACTATATGAAGAGGAACATAACATCAGGATTAGAGGAAGACTCATTGACATCCTATGATATACAGATGATACAATCTTGCTTGCTGAAAGCCAAGAGGGCTTGAAACATTTACCCATGAAATCAAAGGCTACAGCCTTCAGTATGTATTATACATCAACATAAAGGAAAAAAAAATCTTCACAACTGGGCCAATAGACAACATCCTGTTAAACAGAGAAAAGATTTAAGTCAAGGATTTCATTTTACTTGAATCTACAATCAACATCCATGGAAGCAGCAGTGAAGAAATTAAATGACATATTCCATTGGGCAAATCTGCTTCAGAAGACCTCTTTAAAGTGTTAAAGAGCAAAGATGTCATTCTGAAGTCTAATGGATGCCTGACCCAAGCTATGCTATGAATATGAAGGCTGGATAATGAATAAGGAAGACCAAAGAAAAGAATTGAAGCATTAGAATTATGGTGTTGACAAAGAATATTGAATAAACCATAGACTTCCAGAAGAATGAACAAATATGACTTGGAAGAAATATAGCCAGAATGCTCTTTAGATGTGGGATGGAAAGGCTTAGTCTCTAGTACTTTGGTCATATTATCAGGAGGGACCAATCCTTGGAGAAGGACATCATGCTTGGTAATGTAGAGGGTTAGCATAAAAGAGGAAGACCATCAATGAGATGGATTGATACAGTGGCAACAACAATGGGCTCAAACTTAGCAATGATTGTGAGGATGGCACAACACTGTGAAATGTTTTGCTCTGTTGTACATAGGTTCACTATGAGTTGGAACCAACTCAACAGCACCAAGGACAACAACATGGCTATAACAATAATAAAATATTTTTCAGTGTCAGAAAATAAATCTTTTTTTTTTTTTTCTCTGTGTTCTTCCATTTCTGCCATAACAATTTCCTGAAACTCAGAGATTATAAAATAAGCCACCTGAAGGTCCTCAGACCACATTCTGAGAAGGATGGTCCATGTAATAGTTAGCACTTGTTGTTGTTGTTGTTAAGTGCCGTCGAGTCGTTTCCGACTCATAGCGACCCCATGCACAGCAGAACGAAACACTGCCCGA